CTGGATTTGTCTAAAACAAAGTCACTCATTTCACAGAATTCTTTTTTATTCCAAAGAGTATTTTTTTTTCCTTCGCATCTTTTCACAAGTTCCACTGAGACAAATGTTATTTGTAGGTAATGAAGAAAGATGGCCTGCATTTCAAAAAAAGGTCAATGAATTAAGTTAGTTTATTTTTGAGCAGGTCATTTTTCAAACTCTCACTTGCCAGGAGCAAAGTTTGGACTGTCCTGAAACTTCACCAGGCTTTCTTGAGATAATTAAGCATGTATTATTCACTCGCCTTGTGTTTCATGTAGACGTTCTGTCTTCCGTCACCAAGGATGGACTACAACTGTTTTCTCACTACTGTCCTCAAATTAGTGCTTTTTAAATAACTGCCACATTTCTCCCTGTCTGTACCCAAAATGTAAGCAGACAGATGGTCTTGGGGGTGGCAAGGAAGGAAAAGAGAAAAAAGGCATTTTTAGAATACAAATAAACTATTTTCAGCTGTTGAAGAATCATAATAAAAGCTATTCAGAAAAAAAAAATGATGATTCATTTTACAAGTACTACTGCCTCGTGCCTTCTCCAAAACTACAGTGATTCCCCTGCCTAAGTATAGAGAAGTCCAAGGCCAGCTTCCAAATCTAGAGGTCCATTTCCTAACACATTGGCATCCCCTGCCCTGAACTATGCCGTACAGCCTGGAAGTGAAGTGGAGGCACATAGATGCGTCCGGATCTATGATGTGGAATCAAACAGTCCTGCATCAGGCACCTCAGATAAAAAATGCGTCAAGTAAGACTCTCTTCTCTCATACACAGTGGGAAGACGACGTTGTCACCTACCAAAACACCAGGACCAAATTACCAACAAAACATTATGTGCAAAAAATTAATCTAAATGGGATAATGGATGCAAATATGTCTAGCAAAAGTGTAAGTGTTCAGCATTGTGTTATTGTGTAGGATTTTATTGCTCGTTATTCTGTTGTTAAAGTTTGATGAAGCACTTTATAGGAAATGAAGAATGAGTCTTCCATTATTCTCTCCTCTGTAGTTTGGTTTAATGCTCTATCAAACATTGAGGACCATACAAACACACTGATTTTTATATTTGTTGTTGAAGTTCTTATTATTGATAGTAGTATCGTACCACAGTGACCTCTTGAATAGGAAGATATATTAATAACTCTTGTTTCCTTGTTCTGTGGACCCTGAACACTTCTATCTCCCCATCTATCTACAAGTGAACCTGACCAGGTGAGTCTTGTCTCCTGGCTCATTTTTACAAGCACAACAACGGTGCTATATTATTTAGTGGCAAAAGATAGAGTATAATTTTAAGGCGGAATGAATATTAGTCCCAAGTAAATCTCAAACAAAAAAAAAATGCTATTTTATGTTCAAGATTAGTGCTTAAATTTAATTAGTATTTATTTCAGAGCAACCAGCAAAATGATTCAAGATTCGAAGGTGAGCTGTACTTTCTAGCTGGATGCTCTTACCTCTAACAAATGTAGAATGCACTTTTTGTTGCATTAATTCAAACTCTTGACCCTGCCCATCTTTCCCTTGATCTAGTTCCTCCCTCTTTTTCTCCCTTTTTCTTCCTCTTTCACCCTTGTTCTGCCCCTCCCCCTTCTGCTCTTTCCTCCTTCCTGCGCTTCTTTTCCCTCAACCACTTACTGATGTACTTTTTGGTGTCAAACAGCCTGTGAGACACAAACGCAAAAATCAACAAATTAGATCACGCCATTGTTTTTCTTTGATTATACCGTCCGGTGTGAGAACTGACCTAATAATATAAAAAGTCAATAGACATGATAATTCCTGATTTATTTAAGCTCAAACAAGAAAATAAACAGAGGAAATGCCAAAATTCTCTGTGTTCTTAGCTGATACTAGAAATAAAGGAAATATCTCTCCCTGAGGGAGAGAGATTTTTATTACAACAGAACATAATTCCATAAACTGGGAATGAAATAAGCAAGGGGAGAGCACAATTTGTCTGTCTCAAACTTGAGAGTTCTGCTTGTAGTGTTCTTACAAGAAAAAACAAGATATATAACATTTTCTTGTTACTTATATTCTAGTCTCTCTCTCTCTCTGTCTCTCTCTCTGTCTCTCTCTCTCTCTCTCTCTCTCTCATACACACACACACACACACACACACAAACACATATATACAAACACACACATTATTAGTCTAAAATTTTATTTAGAAAAGAGAGAAGATTGTCTCATAGATTTCAGTTCTGGTGTGAACTAACCACTTGCACTTGTATCTTAACATGCCCAAGTGAATTCTGCAAGCATTTAAACAAAAATGTTTACATTTCTTATTTGTACGTATGCAGCATGGTATGATCAAAAATGTGGTGAATGTTACTGATATTATAATAAAAGAAACATTGACACTCTTAATCCTCCTCATCCTGAACAGACTATTCCCATAATTCTTGTCATTTTCTGAATCAGTTCTGGAACTTTCCCTTTGTCTCTATCTGTACTTTTGTGGCTGCCTCAGTGTCCTAGATAGACTCAAAATACTGACCTTACATGGCCATTTTGACAGAGGGGCCGCCATAAGTCACACAGTCCCAGAAACAATGACTGAGGTATATGAGGACACAGCCAAAAGTTTTTGTTTCACAGTAACTGTTATATACATTTTGGATCCTGTTCAAGACATTTAGGCATCTAAGATAGCACAGCTAAATGCAAGAGAGAAGATTTAACAACTGCCTCAAAAAGTGGTGAATGATGACATTAACATGTCTGAAGCAATAGACAGTATTTTGAGAGAGATTAGTGGCAGTATATCTTTTACTGTAGCAGAATTTTGAAACACACACCTTAATTTCTCATTGGTCCTTGCATATTTTAGCTAAAAGTTTAGGCTGCCCCTACTAATTATTGAATAGCCTCTGTTTTCTACTGCATTGAATCTGCTTCAGTCAACAACCATAATCTCATTTGCCCAACATTTATGAAGCAATTACTGTATGAATTGTATATGTATCATTTCTCTCCATAATATAGTTCAAAATAAAGTAAGAATAAACTCTAAACTGTTAATCAAACAACTTTGAGTCTGTCAACTTGGAATAGGGAAAGCTATATTGGGTATATGCTGAGATAAGACTCATTATGCTGGGTCCAAATACAAATATTAAGTGTAGCTGACAGTTCATTAAGCACATGACAGCAGGTATCCATAAAACTTGAAATTTCCCAAATATTCTAAGTAACAAGTTTTCATTAACTACATATCATAGTAATTTATTCTTCACTTCTAAATTATTTAAAGAGCAGTGGCAGGCATCCTGTGTTTACTTATGTTTAAAAAAAAAAATCCGTCTTCCGAAGTGGATTACACAATATTTGATATTTGCAAGCTAAGACTAGTCTTGATACATTTTTTTTCTCCCCATATTTGATTCACTTCCTGACACACAGTGAATGCTCAGTGGTTTAGTATCTTCATTATGCTGGTGAACAAAAAGGCCCCAGTGAACTAACAAATGGCCAAGAAGCAAAAGGGAACACTACTGTAGTCCTCGTAGCCAGTTAGCTAGTTGCTGTCCTGTGGAGGTCCTTGCCCTGCAATTATAGCCTCTGAAAAGTGAAGCTCTGAGAAATCTGACATCAGCTCTGCAGTTGGGAATGTGGACTGGAGTCTACATTCCACTTTCGGCTCTACTATTGTAATTTTGGCCAAGTAATATGGTCTCTATACTCTCTCTTCCCTTGAAATCCAGAGTTGACTGCCTACTTGGCAATTTTTTTCAAAGTCATTTGGGAGAGGGAGATAAAATTTACAATGTACTTCCTTCTTATCTGAGGAAAAAAATATGTATCAATAATCATTACTCAGTGGGGAAACATTGCAAATATATATTTCTGTCTGTAAAATTATATCAAATTTTAAACCATTCACTATATAAATATACATGTGTTTTTTCTTGCTGTCAAAATAATGAGATTTTTGCTCCTTGAATTAAAAATTTGGAGAAAATTTATATTTTAATGTAATTAACAATTGACTTAATGGCAAGGCAAAGAAATTGACCTAAATAGTGCTGAAAGTTCATCAATAAAAGAAAAAATGCATGCACAAATATACTGAGTTTTTCTATTTAGAACATTAAAGAAAAAAATCAATAAATACAAACAAAAATGCAAATAAAAGACAGTTTTAATAACATTTAAGTAATTTGAACAAAATTAATAATTTTTCAATGTTGCACAAAAAAACCCCACAGGATTTTAAACAGCCTAAAAATAGAAATATTTTCTTAATATATTGTTAAGTTAAAACATTCAAAAGGTACAATTTCATTTACAAAATGTAGGACTTTATGAAGCTATTTTCCAAAACTTTTAAAAGGTTTTTGGTTTTTTGTATTTGATTTTATTCAAATAATTTGCTCCATGGTCTATAATATCTGTAGTATCAGACCTCAAAATATCTGTTGGGTTTAACACTGGCTATAAAATATTTTCCCAAGTGCTTTAATGGATAGCCATCCTCACATTCTCTTCCAAATGAGGATTCTAATGACAATGTAGTACTATCTAACATTCATTAAATAATTTCAACATATCATGTGCTGCATGCTTACCCCTTCATCTGCTCTTCATTGGATAATATTACCAACAAACTTGAAATTTTGTGAAGCAGCATAGAACCAATGAGTAACTAAATTCACACTTAAGTCTGATATTTAAGTCTATCTGATGGATATTTACACTGTCTTCCTTTATTCCATCATGAAAAGTGGCATTAGACCATATGTTTCAAAGGTGAAATTCTACACAGGCTTGGTAGTTTACTTTAATCACTATCAAAATGATTGTAGGGATCACCACATACCACACAGCACAAATTCAAATATTATTTGCACAAGCAGTAAAATACTTAACCATCACATTTCATAATCCAAATCCCAAGGAATGTGTTTCCCTGAAGCAAAAATATGATAAACAGAATTTAAAATTTAAGCCACAAACCTGTTTCCGGCTCAATGGAAAAATAAGGCTGCCCTTCCAAGATACTATAAACCAACTTTGCACTGTTCCCGTAAACTGGGTCATCAGCATCTGTAGCGGTGACATTAGTGACAGACGTACCTATTAAAAAATAGAGAGAAAAGAGTAATAATTAACAAGTTACTTTTTTTTCTAGGAGCTAAATTTTGCCAAGGATAGCATACTGAAATCCATGTGTGCAAATAAAGAAAGGATTTTCTTTAAAATGTTAGAGATAAATTGCTTTGTCATAGCTTCAATATTCAAGTCATTTGAAACAAAAGAGTATCGCAAGGCTGGAGTGCTGTTCAAGAAGGATCTTTTTGGTATCTGTATTATTTAAGATTCCTTTGTAGTTTTCATTGTAAGGATACCTATTCAATTCATATGGGCTTCGAGAATATCAAAAATAATCATAACAAAGAAATACACAGAGTACAGTTAATAATGTAAGATAGCATGTAGCATTAAGTTTTGCAGGAGCACAGCTGAAACTAACTGGAAAAAGAACTGGCTTTTGAAAATAGTTGAACAGAAATATCAGAGGAATACTTTAACACCTTGTCTTTAATGCTTCAAAATATAAAACTAGATTGAAACTAACAAGTAATTACCTTGCCTAGGTAACTAGACCTATGGATAATAGAATTCAGCCTTTATCTTAATCTTATCTTATTCACTCACTTATTCATTCAATGTTTGAACATATATGGCTGTATAAACTGGCTATATATATATATATATATATATATATATATATATATATTATCTCTACACTCAAGAAGTGTACAGTTTGATGGAATAAAGAAAGATGAGAAATGGATACATTTATACGGAAATTCAAATGAAGACAATAGCACCAGTTCTGGTTCTATTACGTGTTTTAACACAAACAGGTGTCTTTCCCAAGACAGCTTGTGTTTAACATAAATTATTAGGCCACCAAGATAGCTCAGCAGACTAATGCCTGCTTTGGCAAGCACAGGCACCAGGGTTCGATCCCTGGTCTTGCATGCTGTGCCAGCCCTGCTCCTGGGGCCTGGGGAGCTGGCGATAGATTCTAGGTGTGGTGGTGCATGCCTGTAATCCCAGCACAGGGAGGCTGAAAACAAGAGGATCACTATGAGTCTGAGCTGCATGGTGAGACCATGTGCCAGCTACATAAAATGAAACAACCAAGGGATAAATTGTTAACAAAGTAAAAGTTTTCACAGGGAAAACAATGTGGAAAGAATTCTAAGCAATACATTAAATGTAAGTAAAGGCAAAGTAGTGAGCATGGCATGTTCTGGGGACTGTTGAAGCTAGGGAGAACTTGGTGAAGTCTGGTGTTATGATAAAGATCATGAGGGCAGCAGCTTCCTCCTCGATTAAGTGCCAGACAATTAATGTTAATTGGAACCATATTTAGTAATTGAATTAATGGATGAGCGAATGTGTTACTGAGCCTCACAGACTAGTGAATGGTGAGGTAAAGGTTATTTGCATGATTTTCACTGAAAAGTGCTCCTGTTTGATCCATATGGGGAAGCAAAGGAAAGACAAAGTCTTAGCAGATGCCCATATAAAAATAAAAAAGAAAGTTAAGAACTTCTTACATACAATGACCCAAGGGAAATCATCCCATCAAAAAAAAGAAAAAAAAAAAAAGAAAGAAAGAAAGAAAAAGAGGAATAGTAGAAAAAGAAGGACTTGAACATAAAAAGTCACCAAAAGGATGCTATCCAGTAGAGAAAATATTAAATTCTACTGTTCATGTCTAGCACCCAGAGCAGACTATGTAAAATGTGATCTCTAAAGGACTTGACTAGAACTTCCTCTATGATTTGCTGGTTCAAGCTTTATGGTCTCGCTGCTCAGCAGGTTCCAATCCAAACCTGCAACTTTTCTTGGTAGGTATTCCACGTTCCTGGAAATACCAACAACCTGGAATCTCTAAGTAGCCTTGGCTTCACTCACTGCTGCATGTATCACCCTCTTAATGACAAATTTCCTGGCCTCTCAGGCTTTTCTTGGACGTCTGAATAGAAGTTTCCATGACAACACAACTTTTGCATTCTGTCTGCTTGAACAACCAGCACCCCGTGTATGAAGTTAAGGTCTCCTGCCAGTTCAAGCAGTGGCCTGAGCCCTTTGGACAGAGATTCCAGCAGCTTCTAAATGTTAAGAGTGTTAACGTCAGAGAAACACTTTTCTAGTATCCACTGAATGAGCAGGGCACCCTGGAGTACTCTAGAAGTTTACCCTTTTATAACTCTTCAATCTGACAAGTATGAGGAGTGGTCTTTTCATGAAATACCTGCAAGGCATGAGTCTTATTTTACTTATGCATAGTGGTTATATTTTTACACCGGTACTATGTTTATCAATTACATTCTCTCTGGCCCCAAATTTACAAGTACTTCATTTCTGGCCCTACTATACAACTTTAACATCTTTAGGTCATTCTGTTGTACTTGCTTTTCATTTCAAATCTAGCTGAAAACAGCCAGTCATTACCATGCCACAGTCTAAGTAGTGGTCTACCTTAATATTTGCTCAACCAAGTTAATTAGGCCAGTGGTCTGAATATTAGTCTCCTGAAATATCTCCAGACATAGGCAAAATGGAAAAAAATCTGCCAGAATGCAACAAATATGTATGGACTCTATTCCAACTACCAATAGATTCCTTATTCTCAACTGAAAATTCCTGAGTCTGGACTTTACTATCTGAATTCTTATCAGCATTCCAGACTTCTGAGCTTCTACCAGAGTCACCCATCAAGTTCTGCTTATCTTAAAGCTTCTCTAGGAGGCAGCGCCAAAGCATTCCAAACTTCTCCTGCATACCAGTTCCAAAGACTTCTGAATAACACAGTCAGCTGCAGCCATTACAACCACCCCACTCCTGGAAAGAATTTTCTAAATTAGTCTGCTTTACTGCTACTAAGACAAAATGCTCATGAGGTAAAAAGAAAAGGTTTAATTTGGTATATGATCTTGTGGGAGTCAGTCCATAGTAGATTGGCCTTGAGGAATAAATAGTTTGGTAGAGGACAAGGACATGGCTGTGGGACATTGTGCAATCTAAGGCATCTGAGAAATAGACAGAGAGTGGAGGAGCCACAGACAAGAATACAACTTTATAGGCCACATTCCTAGTGACCAATTCTGTCCAACCAAGCTCCACTTCTTAGCAAATTAGACTTTGGGGCATTTTAGATCTACATAATTTATGTCATCAATTAAAGTCAAAATTTATACTCGATATGATTTTAAATTATGGAATCTGAGTATTCATTTGCAGTCATTGCCTAGACATTGGAAAAAGAGAATCAAACAGTTAAAATATTCTATCCCTGACAATGTATTTTTCCCAATAGTCATTCAAATGAAGATAACTAAGAAAATTTCTTTTAGTTCATTGAAAAGCAGAGTTAATGCTTATATTGTTTGATCAATCTTACATGCCTGAATATGGTAATCTGAGCAACTACTTTGAAGATAATACACAAAATAATAACCACTACTAATTTCCTGTCATCTTGCTTTGAAATTCTGTATCTTTGGGGTTTTTTATTATTTTCTTTAAAATAAGAAGAAATTATTGTTATTAAATATACTTCTTGAGAATATCATCCTCATTTTTAAGCCTTGTTTGGGTTAACAGTGTAGAGTTAACAGTTTTTAATACAGAATAGTTCTAACTTACTCTGAAACATGTATCTCTATCTCTTTATGCAAATAGTATAACTTATTCTAGTCTCAAACTAAAATCAAATTATATATTGGGGCTAAAGTGACAAATATGTGCCTAGACAGATGTTAACACCTAATAGCCAGTGCATAACAACCCTTCTGGATTAGTGCCCTACTTTGAAATATAGACCTCTGGGGCCCCTGCCAGAATGCTATGGTGGGGACAGTGGTAAAGCATTCCTAAAAACCTTTTCAGGTAATTCCAATGTGAAGCCGAATTTTCAACCACAAATAATAAGCAGCAAACTTTGAAAATTTCACCTTCAAGCTCACTAAAGTCTTTAATTATTGTCATGATTACTTTGAAAAAAACTGCATTCAGAATTTTTGGTAAGTGAAGTACTTTTATATCACTCATACTAAATGGAGAACCATCATAACTATTTCTCCTTAAATCAAAGATAAAAAATACTTTTCCCCATATTTACTATCCCAAGAAATGATAATCATTTCCATTTCTGTGATCATCATAACTTTATCTTCTCTTTTTTCTGTGAGGTAACCCATCATCAGTACTGGACTGATTGGGCATGTTTCTATCATCTACACGCTGTATGATTTAGTCTTGCTTATGTAAAACAGATCATTTATTTCTGAAAACCTCCTAGTTTTTTGTGAAGATTAAGCATAGTTATAAGCGGCAGAGAAAGTAAATTTGGAGTTAAAGTGTCCTGAACCTAAGCACTGGTTTAGTATAATATCTCTTATTAATGCTTGGAATTTGGCCCAGTAAAACAGTTCTAAGTTTTGGCTTCCTAATCTTTAGAAACAAAGAAGAGAGTTACTATTATGTCATAGACTGAGATAATTAAAGGCAATTGTTCATGCAAATAATATAGGAGAATTATTGGCATTTCATATTTTTATAAGCTTACTGTCAGTTTTGGGATGTTATATGCATATATAGGTGAAAATAATTAACAAGCCAGTCCATAACAATTTTAAGTAGTGGTAGAAGTTTTAATTTATAATTGTCATTTTGCATAATGGCTTTAATAGTAGTGAAGTTCCATAAATTTGAAAGGAAACACACACACCAGAAATGGCAAATGAAACAATATTAGTTTATATAAGAGGAATCAGTTTTGTTGTTCTGTAACACAGCAGGGTGATTATAATTAACAATAATGCATTATATGTCTCAAGTAATTGGAAAAGAGGATTTTGAATGTATTCACCCTGAAGACACGATAAAAATTTAAGGTGATAAATATGTTAATTACCCTGAGTTGATCATTACCCAACAGATATGTAAATCAAAATGTCACAAAAATGTCCATCGTAAATGTGTAGAGATGATGTATTGCAATCAAAAAATTAAAAAAATATAGTAATATACTCACCCAATTATTAAGAAAGATA